CCAGGCTAAGTTGATTCATTACCCTATGAATCTCAACAGAAGAAACCCACACATTATCTAGAGTTCATTTAGGTTGCATTTGGCTTGCATTTGGGTTGCATCACATGGCCATGCGACCCTAAATGCAACCCTATATGCCTTCCCACTCCTATAAGTACACTTAGCCTAACTCCTTGTACACACTTTGGAATATATGAATTTAAGTAAGCATTTTTGCCTCAAATCCTTCCTTAGTCACCTAGGTCTACACGACCACAATCCCCCCTCTCCGCCCTTGAGTGAGTTTAGGGTTCCATTGAGTGGCCTTCATCCACACTTGGTGAAGAGAGCCAACTAGAACACCCAAAAACACCATCTTCCCAACCTTTCTCCTATTCGCCCATTCCATGCCATCCACCCCTTTCCTTTTGTTATTCATCATCCTTGAAGAAACATCCAGCCCCTATTCATCATTTTGACCGTGGAGAAGGAGCCCACTCCCATTTGGACGTCCTTGATTCCCCATGGTGAGAAGAAACCCATCATTTGGTATCATGAGCTTTGGTTATCTTCAAGGGTAGTTCTTTCATTTTCTTTGAGTCCCTATATTTCTTGTCATCGTTTATGTCTTCTTGAGTCTAATTGTCTTCCATGAAAACCTTGTTAAAAATGTCTTCAGATGTTGCTCCATGGTTCATTGTTTATTCATGAGCCTCCTTTTATGCTTTAGGTTTTTTCTTGAGTCTTAGGTTCTTGTGTGCCATTTTTGCTTTTTACTCTTGTTTGCTGGAAAAAATACTTCAAGAACATGAAGAACATCTATTGTATCTCCTTTTGATCCTTTTTACCTTTTAAGTTTTTTCAAAAGTGTGTTTTTCTCACCCATCTCAAAAAGACAAAAATCTATATGTATGATGCACCAACTTGATGTATGAGAAAATGAAAGTATGAATGTATGTGTTCTTTTCCATGAGGTGGCCGAAAATTTACTGCACCCTTTAGAAGTCATTCATGCATGTTGATTAGTCCTTGGCATGCTCCAAATTTGTATGGAAATCTATGTGTTATTTTCTTCCTACATATACATGATTGGCCACCTTTCCATGATCATCATTGCATGATTATTCCTTTATCCCTTGTGTACATGTGTGAGTGATTAAATTTTGTGTGAGAGTGCTGGAATCTTTGACAAAAATCTGCACAAAAAGAAAGCTGTGTGAGAGTGCTGGAATCTTTGACAAAATTTGCACAAAAAGAAAGAAATAGTACAAGACACACTCCACTCACAATAAACACTTAAAAAATCATGGCCTAAATGTTTAAAGCATAATAATTCTTTGTTGGAAAAACTGCATAGGTTCACATTTTTATAAATGTTGTCTAACCATTTAACATGTATGACAACATTTAGAAAATCATGGTCTATGATTAGACAATATTTAAAGAGGTGTATTATAAAATATTGTGTTCGTTGTTTATTATATTTGGCCACAATCAAATCTTCGTGGTCTTAAAATTATAACCATGAAAAAAAAAGTGTGGTATATCTTAGTATTTAAGCCCACAATTATTTTGTTTTCGTGGCTGAAAGCAAAATTGTTGCCTATTAGTAAACATGTATATATATGAATGTTTAAACAGGTATTCTAATATGATTTGATATGCATGTATTATGAATCAATTAGTGGATGTTTGTGTGTTTAGTAAAATTGACCTTAGGGTGTGATATCATCAGATTGGAGTTGAGGGTGACGATATATCCAATACAGCTTTAAGCTAAGTTATCTAAGTACAATTTTTGGTTGTATGAAGTGATTTTTCTAGGTCTTGTAATTTCTAATGGAGGTATAATGTATATCTATCTATGGTAAAAGTTGTGCTTAAGTGAGAGATACCTAAGTCAATTAGTGAGGTTAAGAGTTTTCTTAGATTAACTTATTATTATAGGATATTTATTGAGAAAATTTCTAAGATAGCATTACCTTTGACTGGATTGACCAGGAAGAGAGTTTTGCCTTTATGTGGGATAGTAAGTGTGAGAGTAGTTTCCAAACTCTTAAGGAAAGATTAACTAGTGTGCCAGTGTAATATTATCAGATTTTAGTAAGTCTTTTGTAGTATATTGTGATGCTTCTAAGTTGGATTTGAGAGAAATTACCCTACCCATGATCTTGAGTTAGCGACTGTGATATTCACATTTTAATTTTTGGAGACATTACCGATATGGTTCTAAATTTGACGTGTTTAGTGATTATAAGAGTCTTAAATATCTTTTTGACCAAAAAGAATTGATTTGAGACAGAGGAATGGTTAGAATTTCTTAAGGACTATGATTTTGATCTTAGTTGTCATTTGGGCAAAGCCAATGTGGTGGGTGATGCTTTGGGGAAGAAACCTCTACATTTAACTTCCCTTAGGCTTAGAGAGATGGATCTTTTGGTTCAGTCTAAGGATTTTGCCTTAGTAGTGTGATTGACCATGGGCCAAGGGCCCAATTACTAGAGCTATGGCCAGGAGCATACAGGAGGGATTGGATAACTTGAAGGTTAATGGTCTATCTAAGCCCAAGGTAATCTTCATGTGGACCACTTTACCTTGAAGAGAAGGCCTAAGTTCTTTTGTACATAGTTTCCATTGTATAGGTTCCTTTTTGCCTTTGTATTTGTGAGACACTTTATTTCCTTTTTATAGACTATTCTATTGTATATTTAGGGTAGGTTCCTTGGAGACTTTTGCTCCATTTGACCTTGTATTAAGGGTCATTCATTTTACAAATTTTAGTAGTAAAAGTGGGGTGACAATTAGCAAGACATGAGAGTGTAACTGGTAAATGGGCTAGAGTTGGGCCTAGGCCAAATTTTACATATTTGACTTGTTTTGCTCCATATTTTTCAAGGAATTGATTTAGCTAGGTCTCACCATCATGGGGTGAACCTAACTAAACCAATTCCAATTTATTTGGATTAGACCAATGGAGAAAACAAGCCCAAGGTCGCCCCTCCCCACCCATGGCCGAATTTGCTTCTTAGCTTTGGTGTCTTTGGGAAGCTTGTGCTACAAGCTTCAAACTTAGCTTGCTTCCCAAGCTACTAAGTTAGAAGTTTGCTCCACAAGCCTCCCAAACCAAGGTGGCCGGTCAAGCTAAGCCAACCATGGTTCTCTTGAACCATGGTTAAGCTTAGTTTGCTCCACAAGCTATCTCCTTCTATATAAACCTTTTCTTTGCATTTGTAATCACTTTTGCGTATATGAATTCAAAATTTTCTCTAAAAATTCTCTCTCAAGGGTCACAAAAAACTGTGGAGAAGAACCTTCTCCTTAAGAACTTCCACAAAGGAATTCCTCCTTTGTACTTGGTTCCTCAAGCTTCTTCCTCTTCAAGGAAGAAACCGAACACTCCTAGTTGCTTCTACAAGCTTTGGAGCTTGTGTTTTCTTCATCAAAGTCACCATTGAAGACCTTAAGAGAACGATTGGACTTGAAGATGGAGATCAGAGGATAACAACCATCACTCCTTCTACTTTCTTCCATCATAGTGTAAGACTAGGTATTGTAGACACCTAATTTCGTTCGGGAGCATACAAAAAATAAGATATGACATCAGAGGGCCCAAAAGCCCAAATCAACTATCTTTAGTGGCCCGGAATGGGCTGTTCCAAAATCAAAACGAGCCGTTCCCAAGTCCAGAACGGGCCGTTCTTGAATTGGAATGGGCCGCTCCGAGACTCCTAAAAGGCCTAAAAATTGTAGGTTGGAACGGGCCGTTCCAAAGCAATCAAAGGGCCTAAAAAACTTGGTCTGGAACGGGTCGTTCCAAAAGGTTAAAAGACCTAACAAACCTAGTTTGGAACGGGCCATTCTGGGAAGGGAATTTAGTGTTAATTTGTACCCTGTAACGAGCCGTTCTCATTTCAGAACAACCCGTTCTAGTTTCCTGAACGGCCCATTCTGATTTCAGAATGGGCCATTCTAGGGTGCAAAAATAACACATAACGTTCGGATTCGGAATGTGCCGTTCTTCTCCTAGTTTTTGCCATCATTTTTGGTATCAAAGCAAAAAACTAGGAGAAGTGATAGGTGTTCTTCTCCTCGGATTCACCAATGCTTGGACCTCTTCAATGGAGCTTGAAATCCGAATGTAAGACACTTGAAGGAGTGAAGATTTTCGGACTTAGGGTTCCTAGACTATGGATGGAAGCATCCAAGCTTAAGGAACAAAGGAAAGCTCACTTCAAAAGGTAGGAAACCTAGCTAGGGTTCCTAAAAAGTGATGGCTCTCTCTTGGTGACTTTTGGAAGAAACTTGGCAGAATATTTGCTCTCAAATTTCAAATATCAAAAGTGATTACAATGTGTGAAGGAGGGAGCTTAAATGGATCCGGAATTAGGGACACTTGGCGCCAATGTGGAGGCTTCACATGTGGCACCAAGTTTTGAATTCAAATTTTGAATTTTGAATTCAAAACTTAACTCACATGTGCAAGTCCGGTTCACATTGATGCTAGGTGTATTTAGGTTTGATTTAGTGTGCATTTAGGGTTGAATTTGAGTCACACATGTTCAGCCAAGGTGGCACCATCCATGTGACTCAAAATGCAACTTAAATGCATGCTAAATTAAACCTAGTTTTGCCTAATTCAATTAAACTAATAATCCTCCTTCAATCCTAATCTAATGACCTAAATACAATGGTTAATGAAATACAAACATTAGGAAATAATAAAAGAAACAAAATGAGCCCAATATTGGGTACCAAAAGCCCAAAGGCCCATGAAGCCCAAAATTAGGCCCAATAGGCCTATGGCCCAAAAATGCTACTCTATGTGGTCCAAAATACAAGACCAAAATATGTGAAACCTATACTAATATAATATGTACAAAATATAAGGAAAAATAGCTAAACAAAATATGGCCCATGAGAAACTCCACTTGGGCCTTCGAAGCCCATCGGGCCCATTGGGCAGGCCCAAACCTCCATGTCTAGCCAACTCCTCTTGGCTCCTTCAATGTGTCATCCCTTGCCTTCCTAGGAATGATTCCATCAAGAATTTTAAACTTCCTAATTAAAAAACAGAATAGAGCATTAATCAATCTGAGTCCTCAAGCATCCCAAGGTGAGTCTTGAGTCGGTTAATTTCATGATCAAGGGTATCAAACCGATCAAGAATACCCGATTAGATTGACTCATGCCTTATAGACATCTCCATAACATCATCAAGCTTATTAATCATAATTTGCTCGAATGGAGAGAATGGTTTAGGCTCCGCCTCTTGCTCTTTGTCAAGTTCAGCTTTGACCTGTGGTGGCTGGTCCTCATCATGAGATGGAACGCCATCCTTATCTGTTGCCAGTTCAGGGGTTGGAGGTACATCTCCTTTGAATACCCACTTATCTTCCTATTTTAGCATCCCCATGTGATGCAAGGAAGATTTATCAATTTTGTTAGAAGCATGAAGAATAATCTTCTTCTCCCCTGTCAAGTCTACCCCTGCATTCTCAAAAATCTTAGACAGCAACAAGGCATAAGGAATTGGATCATCCTCTTTCCTTCTTGCCTTCCACATGCAGTCATTCACCACTGACACCCAATCAATCTTAATTTTTTTTAATCACATGCATCAACAAAATGTCATCCCTTGACATTTGAGCATGGTTGTGCAAACGTAGTGTAATCATCTGGGTAATAATAAAAGAAATCAAACGAGAATTTTTCTTCATACCTCCTGCCAAGAACTTGTAGTTGGTGTTCTCAGGATTCCTCTGACAATCTCTAAAGGTCGTCAGCTCCTCAAAATCACCAAAGTTGAAGGGTTGGGGTTTGGAACTCCCATTGCCACTTGGCCCGGCAGCCGCCTTCAAGGTTGGTCCATCAAGCTTTATCAGCTTGCCCTTCACAACTAATTTCATTATCCCTTCATTGCTGGTAGCAAAGCAGAGAAATAGCCTGATCAGCTCAGGGTAGTAGGGTCCTTCTAGTTCCAAGAACTTCCCAAGGTCTTGGTGCTCTAGCAGAGTAGGGAAACTAAACCCTTCATTTTTGAACCATTCCAACTTCAGGGTTTTGGGAGGGATGATTCTCCGACCCGCATACCACTCGAAGTAGTACTCCTGGGTTTTCTCATCCGCAAACCACTTGGAAATTAGTTGCCCTGAGGGCAGAGGACGCTTGCTCCCCTTCACATCCAGCTTCTTGGGTCTTTTGGAAGAAGAAGCCATGGTTGGGTTTTGGTGGAGAAGAAGAGAATGAGAGAGATGAAGAGGTTAGGGTTTGAGAGTTTGAGAGAATGCGAGTATATGGAGAAAAGAGAGGGTTTGGAGGTTCTTATGCCCTAGCACGTTTCTGAGTTGGGAGAGGTTACTTAACTGAAGAATAATGGGAAGTTAAGGGTTTGGCGCGCATAAAAACCATTCAAAATGCTTCAGAAAATCCAAACGTCACGTAGATAATCGATTATTCATTCAAATAATTGATTATTTATATCAGTAAAAGCCTTTAAAAACCCTGTTTACACTAAATAATCGATTATTTTTAGAATAATCGATTATTCCAGAGGGTTATTTTTCTCAACGTTGCCTAGATAATCGATTATTTCCAAGATAATCGATTATTCCAGAGGCTTTTCATATTCTACTTCCCAGATAATCGATTATTTCCCTAAATAATCGATTATTCCAGAGGCTCTTGGAATTCATCTTACTAGATAATCGATTATTGCCCAAATAATCGATTATTATTATGGGCTCACTTGAAATAATCGATTAAATTTTAAGATAATCAATTATTCCAGAGAAGTTTTGCTTCTCAGAAATTTAACTTTTCAAATTACTCCAAGTCTAATTCACTTCTTGAACACTCTCTTTTATGCATCAATGTTTCACACTTATTCCAAACAATCACACAATCAATCTCAAATCACAATCAATTCAAACAAGATTCATTGACTATTCCTAGTTCAATTCTTAATTGATTAAATCTTTCCCTTGGTAGAGGTTTTGTAAATATATCAGCTAATTGCTTACTAGTCTCAATAAACTCTACTACACAATCATTTCTTTGAACATGATCTCTCAAAAAGTGGTGTCTTATCTCTATATGTTTTGTCCTAGAGTGCAAAATTGGATTTTTGGTCAGATTTATTGCACTTGTATTATCACATGTCAGAGGTATTTTATTTAACTTAGTTCCATAGTCTCTTAGTTGTTGTTTCATCCAAAGAATTTGAGCACAACAACTCCCAGCAGCTATATACTCAGCCTCAGCTGTACTTAAAGCAACACTAGCTTGCTTTTTGCTATGCCATGAGACAAGTGCACTACCTAGTAGGTGACAAGTACCACTTGTGCTTTTTCTATCTAGTCTACACCCAGCATAGTCTGAATCTGAGTAGCCTATCAGACTTAGTGAGACTCCCAATGTGTGTGTTTGGATTCGAAGGAAAATTTTAGAGTTATTTTGCAAGAATACTTTTGGTTGGCAAACTTACGCAGACTTTTCTGTCTAATGATTTTTTTGTTCAGCAAAACTGATTTTCAACGTAAAAGATTAAGTAAACTAGTTTTCCGTCTAGAAAACGTTATCGTCTAGTAAAGTAGTTTTAACGAGGTCAAGTATGTCTTCATCCAAAGCTTTGTTGAAAAACGGAATAGAACAAGAGCAAAGTAAGTAACACTGAAAAGTGAAGTGAATGCACAGACAGTTATATTGGTTCACTCAATCTGAGCTACGTCCAATTTCCTTCCGCAAAAGGGTTTCACTATTCACAAAGGATTACAAGTATTCTCAGCCACTTCTAGCTCGTCAACTAGACGCTAGTATTCTTAACCACTTCTGGTTCTCCAAGTACTCTTGACCACTCCTGGCCCGTTGGCTTCACTCACCAACGCTAGTATTCTCAACCACTTCTGGTTCACAAATATTCTTTCTACCAGCCTCTTCAGGCTTTGCAGCAGTTGTAGGTTTTGAGTGTGTGTATAACTCTCATAGAGAGGATAGGGTAATTTCTACACTCACTAAGGTGCGTAACCTTAGTTTTTTTTTAGATAAGTGTATGAAAGTTTGGTTACTCTCGTAGAGAGGATGAACTATTGGCAACACTCACTAAGATAAGTTATCTTAGATTTTACACAGATATACAGAAAATAGTTGATTCTCTTGAGATATGTATTGCACGTTTTCTTTTTGCTTCTGTGTTCTATCTCCTCCTTCTTCTTGGTCTTGATACTTATATACTTTTGATAAATCTGCCCGTTGTTTAAATTTTTATTTGTCCGTTGGAGCGTAGCTTTTTGTTGTTGCAGATGGAGGCTTCATTCATGTTCATGCAAATCTTCTCATTTAATGCATTTGATCTTGCATTAAATGTTTGCTTGTATTCGTGGAGTCTCTCTATGTAGTTGATTTCTTTGATTTCTGACTTCATCATGATCTAGCTACATTTGTACTTTCCTCATCAGTTTAGCTATTGCGGTGCTGTCTTTTTTTTGAAAAGTAGGTGTTCTTTCTCTGACGCACTCAGCTTTGACTTGTGAATGCATGTTTGCCCATTTTTTTTATTCACGTTGATGTCCTCTTGTGTTTCTTGTATAATTCCTTTCAATGTGATTAGTGGACTTCAGATGTGCTTCAATGTTTTTGACATCGTCTGGTTAGAAGATACTACGTTTGATCTTGACTACCCTTTTTGTCTGAGTACAGAAGTGATAACTTCGTCTTCTAGTTTATATTCGTTCTTTCTGATTGTCACTTCATGTCGATGTGTTGGCCAATTTTGCGTCTGATGCCTCAAGCTTCTACTGATAGACTTTGTATCTTGATTTTAGCTTAAATCAACCTTAGTCGTAATGCTGGCCTTTCTATCGTCTGATGTTTTGTCAAGCCAGATTATGCTTGAACATATTCCATTGTTTGGACTTTTTGTTATCCAACTGAAACACTAATGCACATGTTAGTAATAACAATATTTATTATATTTATCATATTCAAAACATTGGTGGGATTGTGAATGCACTTCGTCTGACTTAATAATCTCCCTCTTTTTGATGATGACAAATATAATCTATCAAGTTCATACATGTTTATACACATCATGCATTTTGTATCAGACATAGAGCAAATATCATGAGGTTCCTCCCCCTTACTTGATAGATTATATTTTTAAAACCCACAAAACCTGGTGGTTGCTCCACATACACTTCCTCTTGTATCAACCCATTGAGAAAAGCACTTTTCACATCCATTTGATAAAGCTTGAAATTCATTATAGAAGAATAAGCAAGAAGTAATCTAATAGCTTCTATCCTTGCTACAGGAGCAAAATTATCATCATAGTCAATTCCCTCTTCTTGATTATACCCCTTAGCCACTAGTCTTGCCTTATTTCTTATAATAATTCCTGATTCATCAAGCTTATTTCTAAAAACCCACTTGGTTCCTATAATTGGATAATCAGTTGGTAATGGCACTAAATCCCATACTTCATTTCTTTCAAACTGATTTAGTTCCACTTGCGTGACCATTAACCAATGTTCATCTTTTAGTGCTTCATCAATACTCTTAGGTTCAACTTGTGACACAAAAGCCATAGTATT